ATTACTACGTACGGGTGTGACAGTTGGCCAATGAAGAAAGCTGACAGGAAGAAAGTTGATTCCTTTGAGACGTGGCAGCGGCGGAGAATCTTATGGATATGGTGTAAAAAGGTAAAGGTTCCCTTGCTCGAAAGCCAGTCGAATCCGACTCTAGGGTTGCGGTCCTCATCTCCGTTTCAAAGCTGAAGAGTCAGCGCTGTCCGAAGACGTTTCCGTGGCCATGACTAAACACCAAGGTGCACGGAACACTGTTACCTTCCCACTGAAGTGGTCCCTATTTATCTACTTGATATTCTTGCTTTTGAACTGCTAGGTTGGCAGGAGCTGGAACTAGAGAGGGGAGCTCACTCCGTCATGCGGCACCCGGGTCTCGAACTGCTGAACTACCGACCTTTAGTGTCTTAACCACTTGAGCCACCGCAGCTCAACTACTACTGCCAAAAAAGATGAATGAGTAGGTTCTAGATCGAATCAAGCTCAAACTCCCCCTAGAAGCTAAAACGACTCAACTGAGGCCATCGTACTTTGGTCACATTATGATAAGGCAAGAGCCACTGAGAAAGACAATAATGCCAGGAAAAGAGGAAGACCCAACAGGAGAGGGATGGAAGCCATGAGGGCCCCTAAGTCTACAAGGCCTGAGCCAGGCTGTTACAGTGGGACGTTTTTGGGGCCGTTCATACAGAGGGCCACCATGAGTCCAGAGAGACTTGACAGCACTTTGAATATCCGGAGTATTCTTTTAAAGAGAAACTATTCCCGAGTATTGTAATCATTACGTTATATTATCTGCTTCTATCTTTGAAAAATGTATTTTTAATAATATAGCCGATCCTCCTTGTGTGTAACTATTCACGATATTTGATAATGTTTGATGAATTCGTGTATTCCCCTGTCCTTTCCCCCCTTTTCTGTCCCACTTTCTTTTGAGAAAATAAACTAACCCGAGACTTTACAGCACTTAGCACACAATGAAAGTACTTTACGTAAAGTCAGTGTCGGCATTCTACCATCAACATAAACATCTCAGGAAGCCGCACCCAGTCCTGCCGGCTTTCTAAAAACACTTGGTGGGTTCCAGGGAAGGAGTTGGCAGGCGCCACGTGGGGGACACTGACCGACCACATTCCTTGGGCTCCAGCGGTACAATGGGGATCTTTTGAAGCAGCCCCAGACCAATGGTGTGTCGGCACTCCCAACGTATGTTCTACCACTGACCTCTTTGTAGGAAGGCCTTGGAGGTAAAGATCCAGGGGTTATAGAAAAGCTAATCCCCACCCTCCAGAAGTAGCCAGGGCCTTCCCGGCAATGCTCCCTCTAAGCTGTGGAGTCTTGGGAGCCAAAATTCTGCTTTGTGAGCTACTGGCATTAAAGCTGTGAGCGAGCGATTTGGCTACTGCATAAATTAGTTTGTTCCGGAGCCATCCTTCCTGAGCTAAGACAGAGGTGTGAGCCGGAGGCTAACAAACTGTGAGCTCATACTAACTCAGCTTAGAGGGAACACACTGCTTCCCAGGTGCCTCCAGGTGTGGATTCAGCTGCCCGTTGGACCTGCCAATAAAGCGGCTTGCAATACGGGAAGACTGCCCACTTATCAGCGCCTCCAACAGGGCATGCCATGTCCTGACACGTTGCATTGCAAAATCTGTAGGCTTTTTGACCTGAGGCAGTCACGTTTGCCCATTATTTATTTATTTATTGTTTCTATTTGTATCCCGCCTTGCCGGACATGCTGGCTCAAGGCGGCTAACAGGATTAAAATATCATAGAACAATACAAAGTTTAAAATACGATGCAAAATTAAACAACATCTGTTTACAGATAGACAGAGGTCATTTCGGGGGGGATCACAGTTCCCCCGGGTGAGGTACGGGGGGCGGGGCACATGACGAAGCCCCACCCCCTGCTTCCGGCCGCCCCGCTTCCGGCCCTCATTCAGCCAGGAGGAGGCAGGAGAAGAGGGAGGGTAAGTTGCTTCCTCCCTGCCTCTCCCCACCCCTGCCTGCCTGGGGCCCGGGAGGGCCTTTGCGGGGCTTCCTTGCACTCCCGCCGGCCTTGCAGGTCCACCACCGGGCCCCTCATGGGGCTCGGCAGTGGAGCTGCAAGGCCGGCGGTGGTGGCCGGGACCGTTGGGGGTGGTGTGTGTGGCCTTATGACACACTTCCGGTGATGTCAGGGGGTGTGGCATATGCTAACGAGTTATGCTAATGAGTTCCCCTAGCTCTTTTTCTACGAAACGACCCCTGCAGATAGAAAAGACAAGCTAATGATGGCGGTATTCCAAATCAACCCAATGAGAAAGACAGCATCCAACAGGGTCAGATGATGGCGGTATTCCGAATCAGCCCAAAGGTAGAAATAGCATCCAACAGGGTCTTTGGGTGAGTCTTTGTAGTTTGGGGGTGGCAGCCCCTTCTCTCTGCCTGCCCCATCTTGGGGTTCAGTTTCTTTCTGATGACTTGGGGGTGTCCTCGGGTGGTTGCATAAGTTTGTACACCCAAGAACGATATTGGGAGGGGAGGGTTGCAGCATCCTGCCATGCTCCTCCTTGGTCTCTGTGTTCTGGGGAGAAGTCCAGCCGCAAAGGACAGGAATATACCACCAAGGGGGGTGGACAGCCCAAGTGAGACACAAAACAGCCCAGCAAGCCCCCCCCCCCAGCTGTGCCAAGCTGGAGCCTGCTGGCGAAAAGGGCAGACTGTGCTCAGATGAAGTTCTGGTTTCCAAACGGAAGCTCCAGCTACATCCTGGGAAGAAAAAGGAGGCTGAGGCCAGCAAACTACTTGGTGGTCTCCTCTGATCCCCAGGGAATGGTGCTGCTAGAGGTTAGGGACTCCCGCCCAGCTGCAGAGCCCACCTATGAAAACCACCCTTGACCCCTCTCCAAGAAGCCCAGGGTGGGACAGCTGCCCAAAAGTCTTTCATTCAAATGGAGTGGAAAACAGCTGGGTTCTTCCTGGACAGCGGCTCAAGCCCCACCCCCACATAGCTCTGCAGGGTGTGGTTCCCGAGAGGAAAAAGGCCTGGGTCTAGGGCAAGTTGTCCTTTGGAGAGCAAGCCTGTGTGAGGTGGAGTTCTGGTGCCAAATGATTCCAAAGGCTGCCCTCCTCACGGAAGGAGCAGAAGCCTTGAGCCTACGGACTCTCTGGCAAGGGTGCCATTTGCCCATCCAGATTCCAGACCTGAACTAGGTGATCCATGGCTGCGATGGGGGTGGGGATGATGGGCGGCCACTTTGAAGGATGGGTCTGCTGGAGGCCTTCCAAGCCTGTCTCTGCCCCCTTTGCAGGGGTGCCCAGCTGGGCTCAGATTTCTGTGGACCTTAGATTAACAATCTGGGTTATGCTGGCCAGGAAAGGGGTTGTGTTGTTGTTCAGTCGCACAGTCGAGTCCGACTCTTCGTGACCCCATGGACCAGCTCCCGCCAGGCCCTCCTGTCTTCCGCTGTCCTCTGAAGTTCACTCAATTTCATGTTCGTTGCATCTATGACACTGTCTAACCATCTCATCCTTTGCCGTCCCTGTCTTCTTTGACCTTCAATCTTTCCCAGCATCAGGGTCTTCTCCAGGGAGTGCTCCCTTCTCATTTGGTGGCCAAAGTATTTGAGCTTCAGTTTCATTAAAGGGGTGGGCCCCTGCAATTGTGGTGTAGTGGCTAGCCAGAGTCCTGGACCACCGGGAAGGAGATCCAGAGTAGAATCCCCACCTAATCAGTCTGCTTTAGTGGCTAAAGAGAAATGGACCAGCATCTGGGAGACCCAAGTGTGAATCGCCACTTGGGCCACATGGAAGCTCAGGGAAGGCTTTCGGCCTAATCTACCTCACAGGGTTGTTGTGAGGACGAACTGGAAGAGAGAAGGATGTAAGCCTCGTTGGCCCCCACTGGGGGAGACAGGTTGAGTACAAATGAATTAAATGAATACATAAACGCAAACAACAGAAAGTCAAGGACCCTGGCGGGCCACTGCTGAAACCAAAACGCCGGCGCCCTCGACTGCACGCCCGGCTGCAGCCGGTTTCCCTTCTGGAGGGCGGAGGAGGCGCTCTTTTTCTCTCTCCTGCGCTTCCTGCGGCAGGCGGCCGTGCTGCTCTTAAAGGCACAGCAGCAGCCTCGTCGAGTGTCACGAGCAGCGTTGGCAACCCTGCCCCGGCTCTCCGGAGAAGGCCGCGCGGAGAGTGCGGTGCGCTAGGACCCGGCGAGTCCTCCCGTCGGAGGCGGAGCGGAGGCAGGGGGGGGGG